CCGAGAGTTAAGCAAATTTTAGATTTGCCTTCTAATTAATAATAATGATTAACGAGCATCATGGTGCTGATAAATGAGATTTGTCCAGGTATTATTATATAATATAATATATAAACACCACAAACCCAGCACTGCAGTGAGCAAGGAAAAAATGGAACCATTTGTACACTCAAATTTAAGGATTTTGCTCCTAAAGCTGTGTAAAAAAATAAAGATTTTTAAAGAATCAGTGGTTGCCTAAATTTCCTATTCCCAAATTCACACCATATTTAATTTGGGATATNAAAATAGAAATAAATTGGATTTTTTTTTGGCAGGCTCCCTGAGGTTCCCAAAGTGTACAGCAACCTGAACAGCAAGGTAAATCTGTGAAATCACTGCGGGCTGGGAGGTGGGAACAGCAGGGTTCTGCAGGATGTGTGTCCTGTAATAAAACAAAGTTCTTTTACATTGAAAAAATTAAAAATTTAAATTTTAGAAGTAAGGATTTGGGGGAGATGGGGGACAGCAGAATTCTGTGATTTCTTCTGTAATAAAATAAAAAATGGGATGAGGGTAGAGATTTAATTTTAAAATTCTTTTGAATTAAAAATTTAAATTTTAGAAGTAAGGATTTGGGGAAGATAGGGAACAACAGAATTCTGCCATTTCTACTGTAATAAAATAAAGAATGTGATGAGGGTAGAGATTTAATTCTAAAATTCCTTTAAATTTAAAATTTAAGTTTTAGTAGTAAGGGTTTGGGGGAGATGGGGAACAACAGAATTCTGCCATTTCTTCTGTAATAACAAAAAAATAATGAGGGTAGAGATTTAATTTTAAAATACTTCTTAAATTTAAAAAAAAAGTAAAATTTAAGTTCTAGAAGTAAGGATTTGGAGGAGATGTGGAACAACAGAATTCTGCCATTTCTACTGTAATAAAATAAGAAATGTGATGAGGGTAGAGATTTAATTCTAAAGTTTTTTTAAATTTAAAATTTAAGTTTTAGAAGTAAGGGTTTGGAGAAGATGCGGAACAGCAGAATTCTGTACTAAAATAAAAAATGGGATGAGGGTAGAGATTTAGTTTTAAAATTTTTTTAAATTTAAAATTTAAGTTTTAGAAGTAAGGATTTGGGGGAGATGGGGAACAGCAGAATTCTGCCATTTCTACTGTAATAAAATAAAGAATGGGATGAGGGTAGAGATTTAATTTTAAAATTCTTTAAATTTAAAAAATACAAAATTTAAATTCTAGAAGTAAGGATTTGGGGAAGATAGGGAACAGCAGAATTCTGCCATTTCTACTGTAATAAAATAAGAAATGTGATTAGGGTAGAGATTTAATTCTAAAATTCCTTTAAATTTAAAATTTAAATTTTAGAAGTAAGGGTTTGAAGGAGATGCGGAACAACAGAATTCTGTAATAAAAAAATGGGATGAGGGTGGAGATTTAATTTTAAAATTCTTTTAAATTAAAAAATACAAAATTTAAATTCTAGAAGTAAGGATTTGGGGGAGATGGGGAACAGCAGAATTCTGCCATTTCTTCTGTATTAAAAAAAGATAGTAAAAATGTGATGAGGAGGGTAGAGATTTAATTTTAAAATTCTTTTAAATTTAAATTCTAGAAGTAAGGATTTGGGGCAGATGGGGAACAACAGAATTCTGCCATTTCTACTGTAATAAAATAAAAAAAATTATGAGGGTAGAGATTTAATTTTTAAAATTCTTTTAAATTAAAAAAATGCAAAATTCTAGAAGTAAGGATTTGGGGCAGATGGGGAACAACAGAATTCTGTACTAAAAAAATGGGATGAGGGTGGAGATTTAATTCTAAAATTCTTTTGAATTTAAAATCTAAATTCTAGAAGTAAGGGTTTGGGGGAGATGTGGAACACCAGAATTCTGTACTAAAATAAAAAATGGGATGAGGGTGGAGATTTAATTCTAAAATTCCTTTAAATTTAAAATTTAAATTTTAGAAGTAAGGGTTTGGAGGAGATGCGGAACACCAGAATTCTGTACTAAAATAAAAAACGGGATGAGGGTAGAGATTTAATTCTAAAATTCTTTTTAAATTGAAAAAATTAAAATTAAAATTATTGAAGTCAGGAGCACTCCGCCCTGGGACTTTGTTGTGATGTGACATTTCGGGCTGTAAAAATAATGTTGAAAATTAACTTGTGACTGAAATATTTTGGATTTGAGATGGCAACATCCATTAACTATGCCATGTTTTGTTCCCGCAGCTGGAGCAGCTGGAGGCTAGAGATTTAATTCTAAAATTCTTTTAAATTAAAAAAATTAAAATTAAAATTCTAGAAGTCAGGAGCACTCNGCCCTGCACAGCATCGTGTGCCACCTGTGCCTGCCCTCCCTGCTGGGCACCGCCCTGGGCACCCTCGCTCAGCCCCTGGCGCTCTTCTATGAGAAAAACAGGTCAGGATTGAGATGGCTGGGGATTGGGGTGGGCACACACAAACGGGCAGAGCCGGGGCTGGCACTGCTGATTGCCATGCACTGCATCGTGTGCCACCTGTCCCTGCTGGGCACCATCCTGGGCACTGCCCTGGGCACCCTCACCCAACCCCTGGCACTCTTCTATGGGAAAAACAGGTGAGCATTGAGTTAGCCTGGGGATTTGGGTGGGGAAACACAAACGGGCAGAGCCGCTGATGGCACCAGGGCTGGCACTGCTGATTGCCATGCACAGCATCGTGTGCCACCTGTCCCTGTTGGGCACTGCCCTGGGCACCCTTGCCCAGCCCCTGGCACTCTTCTATGAGAAAAACAGGTGAGCATTGAGATGGCTGGGGATTGGGGTGGGCACACACAAGTGGGCAGAGCCGGGGCTGGCACTGCTGGGTGCCCTGCACAGCATCGTGTGCCACCTGTCCCTGCTGGGCACCACCCTGGGCACCCTCACCACACCCCTGGCGCTCTTCTATGAGAAAAACAGGTGAGCGTTGAGATGGCTGGGGATTGGGTGGGCACACACAAGTGGGCAGAGCTGGGGATGGCACTGCTGGGTGCCCTGCACAGCATTGTGTGCCACCTGTCCCTGCTGGGCACCCTCGCCCAATCCCTGGCGCTCTTCTATGAGAAAAACAGGTCAGGATTGAGATGGCTGGGGATTGGATGGGGAAACACAAGTGGGCAGAGCTGCTGATGGCACCGGGGCTGGCACTGCTGGGTGCCCTGCACAGCATCGTGTGCCACCTGTGCCTGCCCTCCCTGCTGGGCACCGCCCTGGGCACCCTCGCCCAGCCCCTGGCACTCTTCTATGAGAAAAACAGGTGAGGATTCAGGGGAACCTGGGGATTGGGGTGGGCACACACAAGATGGCACTGCTGATTGCCATGCACAGCATCGTGTGCACATCTCCCTGCTGGGCACTGCCCTGGGCACCCTCACCCAGCCCCTGGCACTCTTCTATGAGAAAAACAGGTGAGCATTGAGTTAGCCTGGGGATTTGGGTGGGCAAACACCAAAAATTGGGGTTGGGTGGGATGGGCACCACAACTCCTGTGGTGTTCCCAGCAAGAGATGAGGATCTGACTCCGTGTTTCATAAAGCTGATTGATTATTTTATGATTTTTTTACATTAAAACTATACTAAAAGAATAGAAGAAAGGATTTCATCAGAAAGCTTGAAAGGGAATGGAATGATAATCAAATCTTGTGACTGACCAGAGAATCTGAGACAGCTGGGCTGTGATTGGCCATTAATTAAAAACCACATGAGCCCAATCCCAGATGCACCCATTGCATCCCACAGATAACCATTTAATTTACATTTAATTTCTGAGGTTTCTCAGCTTCCCAAGAGAAATAATCCTAACAAAAAGATTTTTCATAAAATACATCCCTGACCGTGGAGCTCAGGGTTTGCAGGGCTTGGAAAAAGCTCCATATTCCAAATTTTCATCTCTCCACTGTGACTCTCTCAGCATCTCTGCAAGGCTCAAAAGTTTGCTTTCCACACCCTGCAGTAAAAGATATTTATTGATAGAAATAAAGAAAATTTTTTCAGGAAAAAATTAAAATTTTACATTAAACTTTCTAGGAAATTTAATGATCATTTCTTGAGGTGCACCGAAATCCTGGAAGTTTTTAAGCAGAAAGAAACACTGGGAAAAAATTTGCTTGGTGCTTTTTCCTGAGCATTGTTTTCCCTGTATTTATTCATAAAAATGGAAAATTTTATTTTCTGAGCATCATTTTTTTTTTTAAAGATTTATTCCTGAAAAAGGAGAAGTTGAATAAATATTTTTGAAGAAAGACATGAGGAAGCAAATAAAAATTTGGGAACCTCATCAGCTTGGAGCTCTATAAGCTTCACAGGCTTATAAAACAAGTTAAAAAATGCGGTTTGCTCACATTTTTCTGGCTAAGTGCACCTCACCGAAGGATTTTTTGTACATGGAATTTATTTATTTATTTAGTTAGTTAGTTATTTATTTGGAATTGTTTAGTTTATGGAATTGCTTAGTGGTACTTTAATTTTTTAATGCCAACATTTCAGCTTTTCAATGCAAATGTGTTTAANTGTGTGTGTGTGTCCTGGGTTAGGGAAATTTGGTACGGAATCTGCAAAGTAGTGAAAGAAACAGGGCCAGGAGACTTCTTCTCCTTCATAATGCAGGCAGGGCCTCGCTCGCAGCTCCAGTAGGGAACGGCTGCTCAGTGTCCCCATTGTGGGTGGGTCCTGCTTTAGGGCAGATTTGGTAAAGAATCCGCAAAGGAGTGAAAGAAACAGGGCCAGGAGATGACTTCTCCTTTTAATGCAGGCAGGGCCGCCTCACTTGCCTACCCCCGGTAGGGAACGGCTGCTCATTGCCCCCGTCTGTATACGGGTCCTGCTTTAGGACAAATTTGGTACGGAATCCACAAAGGAGTGAAATAAACAGGGCCAGGAGACGACTTCTCCTTCATAATGTAGGCAGGGCTGCCTCGCTTGCCTACCCCCGGCAGCTCCGGTGAGGAACTCAGTGTCCCCAGCTGTGTGTGTGTCCT